TCCATCCAGGGAGAGCAGAGATCCCTGCTCTAGACAAAACACACACAGAGAAAGGTCACAGTCGTCTGGCCTCATCCTCTCACCACGTCTGGCCCTGAAGGCCTTGAAAAAGCAGCTCTCAGCCAGTAAAATGCCCAGAGTGCCAAGCCCCCGGGGGCTCCACCCCCCTTTCAAAGTCCTCAGAACCAAGTGCTGAGAAGGCCGGTGTGGGCGGCAGAGGGGTATTCTGATGGCCCAGGCCCACCCTCCCTGGGCTACACGTGGACTTGCTGTTCTGAACTGAGTGTCCATTTGCAGGGGTTTATAGTAGAATATGCATTTGTAAGGGTTTATAGTCGAATGTGCGTTGGCAGGGGTGTATAGTTGAATGTGCGCTTATCGGTGGGCATTCGTATTTTACAGTTGAGAAAACATAAAGGTCAGAAAATACACCACGAGTGTCCGAATGCCTCATACTAACAGCGGCGGTGGACTCTGGCCTCCGTGACTGTGTGATAGAGGGGAGCAGCCCCACAGGGGGTTCTCGGTCACATTTTCTCACAATGAGCTGAGTCCCTTACAAGGTTCCGATGAGTCAGGAAAACAGTGAGTTCTGGAACTGCCTAATTGCTTTGATCCCCCCTCTGCTTCTGAGGAGCCCTGGTGGCAGAATGGTTGCCTGCTGGGCTGCTAACTGCAAGGTCAGCGGTTTGAAACCATCCGCTGCGATGCGTTGGAGTGCTGAGGCTTTCTGCTCCGCGGACACTCCCGGGGCAGTTCTGCCCTGTCCATCAGGGTGCTGAGTCGGCATGGACGCGATGGCCGTGAGAGGGGGCTTTTGGCGAGGGTCCGTGGTGGTGCAATGGTTAAATGTGTGGCTGATCACTGCGCGGTCAGCTGTTTGAACCTTCCACCTGTTCTAGGGCAGATAGACGTGGCAGTGAGCTTCTGTAAAGATGATCCCCTTAAGGATGCTAAGGAACGGATTTGCTCTCTCCTGTAGAGTTGCTGGCCGGCAGAAGGTGGGCAGTGACTAAGGAGGATCGAAGAAGAAGTTGCAGGGACGGCCAAAAGGACAAACCACTCACCCCCGGAAGAAGTACGGCCAGAGTGGCTCCTTCGACGCCAAGATGGCGAGACTTTGTTTGACAAACTTTGGACACGTTGTCAGGAGAGGCCAGTCCCTGGGGAAGGACATCATGCTTGGCAAAGTGGAGGGGTTGTGAAAGAGCCGAAGGTCCTCAAGGAGATGGATGGGCACAGTGGCTGCAACAATGGGCTGAGGCACTAGAGCAGTGGTGAGGCCGGTGCAGGACGGTGCTGTGCACAGATGGAGTCGTTGTGGGTCCCAACCGAATCGTTGGCTCGTAACAATATGGTCACTGCGAGTCGAATGGACTCTGGGGCCTCCTGGGAACCCTGTCTTCCTCCCTTACTAAAACATTCTTCATTATAGTCCCTAAGAAGCTGGCCACCCACAGGAGCAGATTCCAAGCTCCTCTGCCTCCACCCACTATTAGGCCCAAATGTCTGAGGCAGAGAGGACCCAAGCTTGGTGGCACAGGGATTACATGTGGGCTACCAATTGCAAAGTCCTTAGTTCAAAATCAGCAGCTGCTTCTTGGGAGTAAAATCTGGTTTTCTCTGCCTGTAAGTACTGCCCTGCCCTATGGGCCAGAATCAACTTTATGAGAGCATGTTTTGGTGGTTATCTGAGGAGGAGCTTCAGTCTGGGAAGAAGGTCAAGTCTGCATTGGAATCAGGACAAATCTCTTCCCTGAGGGTCTGACTGATTGATCTAAGCCAACTGGTCCCCCCTGAGATGGACTCCCCTCTTGGCAAAAGCAGCCTGGGAGTAGAGGCCCCCATCCAGGTAGAGGGAGGGGAAGGGGCAGCTAGCCTGGGACTGGCTTCCTTCTCCTCTGTGCCTCTGCTGCCGCCATGTGGTGCATCTGGTGCGGTGCAGCCCGTGCAGCCCATCCCTGGCTTGCTTA